TGCTGGCCACCTGATGTGTCTCTTGGAATGGTGTAATAGACATTGAGGGGATTGCTGGTGCGAAGTGTATTGAGGCAGCTGTGTAGTGGCTGTGCTGAGGTGCAGGGGGGAGTGAGAAACCCCAAAGAAGTGTTTGGAAAACGTTACTGATAAAACACAGTTATCTTATTGGAGAAGCACAAGTGATGTTATTTTACTGGTATGCGAGTGGAAACCCCAAGTACACAAGCATGGTGATATGTCCACTGTAGAAGTTCTTCTGTTGCTGATTGCCTATGTTCTGCGTGCTATTCGCTGCGTTTTGATTCTTTTTATTTCTAAATCAAGACAAGCAGCTGCTAGTAGAAGTCTTATCTATTCAAGCAATCGATGAACATGAGGCACATGACAGGAAAATCGCAGTTGACACATCTACGGTGTTGCAAGATACCAAAGAGCATTGACAACTGCAGTCTCGATGCCATGNACCTGCAGCACCAATATCGAATCAGACAATCGATGAACATGAGGCACATGAAAGAGAAAACGCAATTGGCACATCTACGGTGTTACAAGTTACCAAAGAGCATTGACAGTTGCAGCCTCGGTGCCATGGGCCTCTGTGAACCTGTTTCAATCCTGCGTCGAGGCAAAAGGAAGACAAGACTACAGACATCTATGGGACTGCAGCTGAGAGACATTCAGGTGTTGTTTCTGGTACTGATGCTTGTGATTGAACCGTTTCTTCGCTGTGCCGCTGCGGCTGGTGGCACGGTCCCCCGAACGAGAATGGCCACGCCTGCAGCCGACGACGATCCCTTGGTGACGCTCACGAACTGCTTTCCCACCGTTGTACTCAATCCTTCCAACATCCCATACACCTGCGAATTTAGCGGTGCCCAAACACTGAGTGGCTTGAACCTCTACGCCTCGTACTACAACCCAACCCTCAATCCTGGATGGCCGGCGACTCTTGATGCTAAAGCCAATGCCATTACATTCGTGCCTATTACTGGGGCGCCTTCAGGACGTTGGGAATTGGCCTTAACACGTATTTCTGTTGATGGAAGCTCTTACACTCCTCTGACGACCAATAAGAGCATGGACTTCATGCTGATTACTGCGACCCATGCGGATTTTGCTACACTCCATCCGTATTACGGTATGGGTGTATCGTGGGAACCCAATCTTCCGAGAGGCACCATGGCTTCCGACTACATGCTGGTCCGCTCTTTCAGCGACTGCCGGTACACCACAACAACCTGCACTGACGCTGTTGGGTGCTACAGAATGCTGCCACCCGCTCATCTTCCCCCTCCAGGCAGCTACTCGCTCTGTGTGACGTCAAATGACTGGAATGGCCAATACCTTCCGTGGGGTGTGAACGCTCTTGAGGTGAAGCTGCTGATGGCCACGCCGCTGTACTTGACAGCTGGTAAGGACAGAAATGTCGTGCTGCAGGATGCGGAATCTGTGGTAAATGTGTCGGGGCGTATGTTCCTGGCGTGGTGCCCTGGCAACGACTGCCCCCGTGTGACTGCTGGCAGTGGGGAAGATGTGGTGCATCTTGATGCGTGTGTTAGCACCTCCGTCTCGTCACGGGTGTACCTGTCCGACCTCCGTGTGCTGTCTGCAGAAGCTGGTATGTACGCTGTGTGTGTCGATGGTGATGGAGAGTACACTGCTCCCGCTGCGCTGCCGGTGGCGGTGCTGCAGAAACCCTTTGCCTTCAAGATAACTGCTGACACGGACCAGAACACTGCCACGATCGATGTCAGCGGTGGTGACTTCGAGTGGCGTAGAGAGCCGTACACGGTGTGCGCTGTGCCGCTGAGTGACACGTGCGATTCCGTGTCTGCCCGGCTTCTTATGTGCGAGAAGAGTGAGTTGCCGTGGTCACCGTCCGTGTTTCTGAATCTCGCCAGCAGGGGAATGTCGGTTAAGGGTGTGAAGTTCTGCTTCATCGCAGCCAACGTGACAATCGGAGGACGCACTTACATGTTTATGCAGGATGCGTCGGGAGGGGATGTATCGGGAGGGAACGGAGGGAGCAAATTGTCCGGTGGAGCCATCGCCGGGATTGCCATTGCCTGCCTCACTTTTTTGATTGTTGGGGCCGTCGTGTTCTACTTCTTCTTCTGGCGGTGTGGGGGGGAGAATTCCAGTGAAGACGGCACGAAGACCCTGACTGCGCCATTACAACGAGCGGTGAGAAACACAAACCAAAGAACGACAGCTTCTCCTGCCTGCTTGGCTCTACAAGGCGGCGATGACGCTTTGGACACTGATGTGGCGTCTTATCAAGACCGTGCTGAGACAGATTCTTTCACACTGGATTCTTACTTGGAAACGCTTGATAATGCCGACGTCACGCACTCCGCGTCTGGACAGCAAAAGGAGGAATACGAACGAAGGGACGTCGTCCCCAAAGCTTTGCCGGGTAACAACATAATTACGACTGATGATGATTATCTTCGAAATATGAATCCCTTTGCGAGATATATAATTGAAAAGAGGCGTGGAAACACCGTTGTTGCGCCACCCAGCCTTGATTTGCAAGAGTAACGTGCCGCTTTTCGCGAGTCGAGCTCTCGCGTATTGGATGCCGAGAGCTATGATGTCCCCCAATATGGGAATCGACAGCAGTTCAGTCCCTGGTTCGAATGGTTTGCACTCTTCACGGCGCCCCTGATCTCTTCACACGAAGAAGACTAGTTGGAACTGTGTGTTACATGAGTGTGTTGAAGGGCTCCCGGGGGGGGGGGTTCATATGGCATTGGAAGTGTCTTGATGAAGGATTTTGCTTCATGAGGGAGCATTCGGTACTCATTCTCTTGGGGAAAACGGCAAGTTTTCCTTTTCTCTGTTCAACCTGGCCCAATCAAATGGCAGATTTTCTTCCCAGGGTGCCGTGGGGGCTTTTGGGGACGTGCTGAGCTAAAATACAGGATTGTTGGTGGCATCCCCCCGAGTAATGTTTGCACATTACGCTTTCTCTCCTTGCGGGTGGAGAAGGGGTATCATTGTTGCCATCGCGGTGGCGGAAGAATTCCCGCTTCTCCTCGCTTGGAGGGGATAGATCGACTCGGTACCTTGGCAGGGGTTTTGTCAAGCAAAAAAAAGGCTTAAATCCCTTTCCGTGTGTGTCTCTGGATTGGTGTTTTTTTAGTACTGGCTTAATTACGGACAAGTGTGTGATTTGACATGTGAATAGGCAGAGCAATATGAGCACAATAAATGGGGATGACAGGGCTGTGTGATGTGCCATGCCCCTGGTCTGCGCATAAAGTGTTTTTTTTTGTGCCTCTCCGGCGCTTGCGTGCGGGGAGCATTATGCCCAGGAAGAAAAGTTGTTTATTCATTCTATTTGCTCCGAAGTGCGTGAGCATCCACTTCGCTGAGGCCGCACGGAGAAGGGTGAGAGAAATGACAAGGCCAAGAAGAGGAGCTTCGATACCGCTGAGAGAGCATATGTAATGACAGTAGCGCCCTCTCATTCCTTCAATAGAAAAACAATATGAAAAAAAGGCTGTAGCTATCTTTTTACCTTTATAATAACGAAGACCAATATGTGCTTTTCTGTACTTTACTATGGTTTGCTTTCAGTCGTTTATTTTGTGTTCCGCATCATTATTTTTCGTTTCCTTTTACACAACGGAGGTGCTGCTGATTCCTTCATGTTAAGGCTGCGAAACCGCAAAAACAAACAAACAATGCCGTGTGAAGGCAAAGTAGGACAAAGAGACAAGTTGCCTGGCCGGCACTTGTTGTAGAGTAAATGAAAACGGAGACTAAGTTCAAAAAAAATATATCGGACGAAAGAGCAAAACAAAAGATTCAAGACTATTTAAATGCCACTGTTTCATCACCAGCGATAGGAACAGAAAGAAACCGTAAAGTTGCTGGGAAAACACCGCCAGAGGTGGGAGGTGGGAGGTGGGACTGTTGCGTCAAGAGGCGCAGCAGTTTGCCGTAAGTCTGTTACTTGTTATTCAATAAATAACCCCTGTTCCCCATACAACCCTTTAAAAGGAAAACATGTGTGTTTGCGCCTCCTCTTCTATTCCATCGTCCCTTGCACCTTGCTTGCGGTTTACTTTTAAGTTGCCCATAGGCATAACTGCACGACTTGCTGCCTTGCAAGAGCACCTAAGCACGAAAATCAGGTTTGCACTTCGTCGCAGGGGGTTTGGCATCGAAGGGTTGCCATTACTGGGCGCGGTGGAAACGCGCTGGGGTGCATCCCAAATGCTGCGTCATTAAGGAGTTGGGGCCTATTCAAAATTTACTCCGCACTGTTTGTTTATAAAGTGATCTTGCAACTGGAGAACGGCCGCCCTCCCTGGCTTTGTGGGGTCGGTGGGCGCATGATTTTCCACTCTGGTGCTCTCCGAGATGACACTGTGGGGCTCCGGCACAAACAGCTCCTTGGGAAACCAACGCGCCTCTCTGCACATGTATCGTGTGTCTCTGCTTTCTTCATGCGCCGAAATAGAGAACACAACAAGAAAGAGAAAGAGAGGAAAGAGAAAAGAGAAAGTGATGACTAAAATTGGCATTCTCTGACATGTATAAAGATGGATCTTACACCGAATCGATGCCAACCAAAGTGATTGGTCATTTCTGTGTGTTTTAAAGGGGAAACGAGCACTGCACGAGAAGACATTCAACACGAGATGCTTTGCAGCATAATGACGATGGTGGAAGGCCAGGGTTAGGGTTAGGGTTAGGGTTAGGGTTAGGGTTAGGGTTAGGGTTAGGGTTAGGGTTAGGGTTAGGGTTAGGGTTAGGGTTAGGGTTAGGGTTAGGGTTAGGGTTAGGGTTAGGGTTAGGGTTAGGGTTAGGGTTAGGGTTAGGGTTAGGGTTAGGGT